AAGGAATATTATATTTCATTGGTTCTGGGATGTATACTTTTTTCTGATTCTTACAATCAGTGGCATATTAGACTTGATGAAATATGGTAGCAGCCCATTGGAATTGTGACTTTTCCATAAATAGTGGTAGAGTTCAAGACTTTTGCTTTTCATATTACCCCCCACTTAGAAAGCCTTCCCTTCTTTATGCTTTATATCCAAATTCTACTCAGTTTAGATCTCTCTTCCAGGAAGCCTGTTTAGGCCCTTCAGTTGTCAGTGATCTTTTCACCCTTTTTATTGTTATCGTTGACTGCACTATTCATTTGATAATTAATCATGTTCTATTTTGTGGCATCTCTTGTATTTTATATCGAACTTATATGTATTTGCTATATTGTTGCTTAACTGTGGTTTTATCTGTCTCCTTAATTAAATTATAGGCTCTTGGAGTCAAGAGAGGGATTTTATACTTGCGTCTTCCAGTGTCTACTTGATTAATATTCATAGAATGATTGATAAGTGTATTATAATCAGTAGTTAACCATTAATACAACCTGAAACTTATTCAGAGACAGTTATCATGTAATGGCTAAGAGAACCACATATAAAACATTTATAATATTGCCTGGCACATAGTTAAGTGCTAGATAGATGCTGGCTATTACTGCTGCTGCCGCTGCCACTGCCACCACCACTACTAGTATTTTAATAATCTGTTCAGTGCTAGGCACTGTGCTAAGCATTTTATAATGCACTATTTATTTTTCTTCACAACCTGACGAACTAGGATTATTATACTAATTTGACAGGGGAAGAAACAGAGTAGGAGATGAGTCTGCTTGCCAGAGTCCCCAAAGTCATGAAGTGGCAGTGCTGGGTTGAAACATCTCTGTCTCTTAAAGCCCCTATTCTTGTTGTTCTTCCCCACTGTCTGTTAAATTTTGGAGGCTTTGACAACTGCCTAGTAAACTGAAGGTAGAAAGAAAGGAATAGGTACTTAATTTCCCCTCTGCTCAAGCACTTTTCTTTTAAAATCCCATGTCTGGAGTGGTGAATAGACCTTGTGAGAGGAAGTAGATGTACAGCTGCCCTTTGCTGCTGACTTGTAGTCAGTTTCTGGCAGCTTGGCTGTTAGTGACAGATGAGTGTGTGACACTTTTTCAGGAATGAATTCTTGTTACAACTGGCAGAGTAGAATAGTTGATATGGAATTGCATGGCAGTTTGCTCCATAATTTCACTCCCTGTTACTTAGATGTAGCTGTGATTGCTAGATCTTTCTCCTCACTTAAGTCGATGTATTAACAGTCACATCTCAGGACTGCTGCTTCTGCCTGCTTCATGACCACATGTGTGTTTGTATGTTGCCCTGAACTGTCAGCAAAACATTTTGCTGAACTTCCTTTTTTGTTGCTCTGCAGCCTTCTTTTTCCTGGCCTTTCTCAGTTGTGTAAAGTTGGTTTCTTCTTTGGCCTTTCCATCCGAGAGAGCATTTTCACCTTTCCATCCCAGCTACTGCAGAGAGAAGCTTGAAATATGAAGTGAAGGCATCATAGCGTTTAAAATGAATGGTCAGACAGCTGCCTGGGTAAAATGAGACTTATTCAGTGCCTGATGGGTGATATGGGTCTAATTATCTCCTTCCCCTCATTTTCGAACCTGCCACTGTACCGAATCCACTAGCGGATGTTCTAGTGGATTGTCTTGTCTGTAGGGAGCTTAACTCTAGTGTAGTGACTCACTGCTATTTGTATGAGCCAGGAGAGAAAGGTTACAGCTTAGGCCTATCCTCTCCATCACTGAGTAGGGTAAAGTGGGATTAGATACCCTTCCATAAAGACAAGCTGTGTATTCCCATATGGTATTGGACTCCTGGCTCTCCATTTGTCTGGGAGTCTAGAGGCATATTGCCCTGGTTTGACTTCCTCCCAGGGACTGTGAATCAGACCCAAGTACTTGGAGAAGGATGCATTTTACATCTATCCTCTTATCTCTTAAATTTTTGGTCACCACCAACTGGAGATCACTCTCTTCTATCACTGACCGTAAATAAAAAGAGGAAATGTTTGAAAAGGAAGAGTACTTTATTGGGGCATGTGTGAGTTATTGACATATTTCTAGTAATTTTGTGAGTGATTTATTGAGGTTTGATAATTTTTTTGTTTTGTATGTGGGTGTTTGTTTTTCAGAGCAGCTTGATTTTTGTTGTCATGTTAAACTCCTGTGTGAATTTAACGTTCAGTTGATGGTTTGTCACTGAAAGAAATCCGGTACTTACTTGAGTACCCACAAATGTTAGGGGTAAGAGTTCTCCATTTATGGGTAAAATAATGCTCCTATGTTTATATTTATCCACTCAGAGTAAAAGTAAGCCCATTTAGATGGATAGTTTGGAGTATTTCAAACCATAGCATTTTGATTTGGGTGTCGCTAGAAGTTGGCATTAGACTGGGAAAGTTAAAAAGAACGTCTGTCTGTGACGGAAAGTCATCAATGGCAACATTGTAGATCTTGTGCAATTTAAGTGAATCCATGACAGGGAACTTGGGCCAAGATAGAGATGTAAGAAATATTCTACGTGAATAAATCTTTTCTTAGGAGCTCAGAATACTTCGAATACTTTGCAAACAAAATCTCAGTTTTATATAGCATCTCTCAAGCATTTTTTAGTGCGCTAGAGGGATGAATTGAAAATTTTTCCCAGATTGTCAGTCATCATTAGATTAAAAACTAGGATCCAGGTTTCTGGCTCACAGTATAAATGTATTTTCTTCTGGACAACCAGGTGGATTCTACTAAAAAGAAGGCCTAATTTTGGCCAGTTAAAAGGCAGTTTTCTATGGAAAAGTTGATACTAGAAGAAACCACTTTTGAAGGTAAAAGTGATTCCCCAATTTTAGCTTTGAGAGCAAAGCTATGATTAGAGACTGAAAAGTAATAAAGGTGAGAACAAAAGGTGGTTTGCCCCCAAAATGACAACAGAAAGTTATGGAATTACCAGTTGTGAATGGTCCTTGATAGATGTATAATGTGCTCAAGGAATAAGATACTAGAGTTTAGAAGTCTTGTTTCCTGGGCTACTGTCCCAAAGCAAATCAAGACAGAAAGGAGCCTTAAATTTATGGAATGTAGATCCAGAACTGGTGTCATTCCTTTGTGGAACTGGATATTTCTCCTGGTTTTAGATCAAAAGTAAGCTCTTTTCTTGGTTTTCCCAGTCAAATATTTTCTCTGTCTACCCCAAGAGTTCCCTTTCTGTCTTGCCAGCTCCTTTGGACATTTGGTGACCTAAACTGATTTGTCAGTAATTCCTTGTGTTTGGAGAAAGTCTGGTTATATTTGTAGGTTCAGTCCCACCCTGTATTTCAACAGGAAGTGGGTGGGTGCTTAAGCCTATAATGAGGCATTGCTCCTTGTGGTTGCTGTATGGTAGTGAAGACTGCTATATGCAACAGTAAATTCATACTTGTTTTAACATTGTAGTAGACAGATTACTACAGTAAGAAGAGAGCCTGCGTGTCTTCTACTGTTTTGAAGTCAAATGATTATTTGACTTTTCAATTGAAATTCTTGAACACCTGTGGAATGCATATTCTTTAACATGAAGAAACTATCTCTTGAAATCAGAAACTGGTCTACAAGTAAACCTCTTCTCATATGCACCCATCTAAAGTGCTGTTACAGTAGAACAGTGGGAAATGTTGAAGTGAAAGCAGAAGTCCTAAGTGCCGCACACACAACATCCCCACATGTTCTCATACCCTGCTACTGCTGATCAGCATTTAGGGGGTATGTTTCAAAGAGGAACTACCTCGAGAAGCATTTCTCTTGTGGTTATTGCTATAGCTCAGACATACTTGCTTTTTGGATGTGACCATAGAATTCACAAGTAGTATCAGTGACCTTGGCTCTAAGTGAAGCATTATTTATTTATTTTTAGTAAACGGCTAATAACGTCATTGCAGGAATGACCATTCATCCTTCTTCTGTCTGATAGTAATGGAAATTCAGAGTATGGGGTACAGATAGCTGAGTGCCTCCTTCCTCCCTCTCACAAGCAGCCTTTTCTTATTATCTTCTCCTACCCCATAACCTCCCAGCCCTACTCCCACCCTAGGCTGTTGGGATCAGAGTTGTGAGAGTTCAGAGTGTGGAGTGGATGTCAAAGTGTCCTTTTGACTTAACACTGACCAAAGACCTCGAGCTCTGGTAGCGTCATTCACCCAGTGATTGCACGGTGTGAAATAAATATTCCATGATAAACTTCAAATATACAGACTTGTAGAATCAGAATCTCAGTGTTTGAGAGGACGTGAAAGAGCACCTCATCTAGTTCCCAGTTCAAAGCATGGATCCCATCATGGCACTGACAGTCCAGACTAGTCAGTATACTGCCAAGCCATGGCTAGGAAGTGATATGTTAAGATCCTGTATTTGTTCTCAGACTCATCCTCAAGCCCTTATGTGGAAAATAGCCAGGGATGAAGATGGGCATTATTGTTTGTTATGGCCTGAATGTCTGAAGCAGGCCCCAAAAGCTAGTTTTTCCTTTGGACTTCTTTGGGTAGCTGTCTTAGTCATCTAGTGCTGCTATAACAAAAATACCACAAGTGGATGGATTTAACAAAGAGAAGTTTATTCTCCACAGTCTAGTAGGCTACAAGTCCAAATTCAGGGCTTCAGCTTCAGGGGAAAGCTTTCTCTGTCCGCTCTGGAGGAAGGCCTGTGTCATCAGTCTTCCCTTGGTCTGGGAGCTTCTCTGTGCCGGAACCTCAGGTCCGAAGGACATGCTCTGCTCCCGGCACTGCTTGCTTGGTGGTATGAGGTTCCCATGTGTCTCTGGTCGCTTCTCTCTTTTGTGTCTCAAAAGAGATTGACTTAAGACACTATCCAATCTTATATACATCATCAGTATAACTGCCGCTAATCCATTTTATTAGATCATAGTGATTGAATTTACAACACATAAGGAAATTACATCAGATTACAAAATGGTACGCAATTATACAGTACTGGGAATCATGACCCAGCCAAGTTGACAGATATTTCTGGGGGACACAATTCAATCCATGACAGTAGTCAACTCGCAGATCGGTCTGGGAACCTCCCAGAGTATAAATAACTTAACCTCAGGGCCCTATCTGGAATGTCCTTTGGGCTATTCTGGATCCCATAAGTTCCTGGGAATCAGGTGAATGTAGGCCTGGAGAAGGGTCTTGATTCATAGTTGTCACCCACCCCTCTCTACAGTCCCTAGACCTGCTGTTTGCAAATGCAGATGGATGTTGGCCAAGTGAGGAGGTTATGGCAGCTTAAAAAAAAACAAGCCAAACCTGTTGCCATCGAGTCAATTCCTACTCATAGCGACCCTGTGGGACAGAGTAGAACTGCCCCATAGAGTTTCCAAGGAGCACCTGGTGAATTCGAACTGCCAGCCTTTTGGTTAGCAGATGTAGCTCTTAATGACTACACCAGAAGAAATCCAGGAATTTTAGAGCTGGGAAACTTCTTAAAAATCTTCAAGTTTAGTCTCTATTTTGCAGATGAGGAAACTGATGCCCAGAGTAAGAATTATACCTTCTTACACTCTAGGAATTTCTCCCTCAACATGCTGTATAGCTGGTCATCCAGAGGATGGGGCTGGGGAACTCATAACATCTAAAGAAAAGCTATTCTAATGTAGGACAGTTCTAATTAAAATGAATTAACTAAGTTGAAATCTACTTCCTCGTAACTTTTATCTTCTCAGTTTTTCTAATTAATTCCTCTCCTATGTAACATCCTGCAAGGTAGACTTTCTCAAATCCCCAAATTAGCAAATACCAGTAAAGAATAAAATTTCCCTAACCAAAGTGAAGTATGACTGAAAAATACCTTTATTGATTCTATAAAGACAGGGCATTCTACGCTTTCATGTATCCAAAACTTCTTTTTCTAGCTAAGAACTGCAACTTTCTGGTTTACTCTACTTTCTTTTCATTTCTGTTACTGCCAGTAGCATTTATCTCTTTTCATGCTGCTTTTTATAAAGAAACATACATTTTATCATTTTGTAAGTATGACTGTGTAAAACTGTAAGGAAAGAGCAGCAGATGGGGCTGAAAGGACTGGACTTGCCTGCAGCCTCAGTCTCTGGTTTCTCATTTCACATTTGCTAGCTGTGATGGGCCTCTCCATTTCTACTGTCTTTCTCAGCCCATGAAGAACTTCCCAATTGGTCTTCTTACCACAAAACTGCTCCTGCCCAAATATAACTTCTGTTAAAATGATCTGTCCAAATGCAGATTGACCCATGTCACTTCCTTGCTTTATTCAGTTGTTCCCCAATCCCAGAGCTCCACACATTTTCCACTAAAGTGCTACTGATTATAGAGGAGCCTTTCTCAACTGGAATTCCATGAGAGAATTAAACCCTAATGCCCTTAGTCATCCATTGTATGTAATGGATTAACTTTTCTCCTGTGCATCTAGAATGGTGCTAGTTGTGTACAGTCTTGAAGAGAATTGAGAAAATAGTCACTCTCGTCATTTGTTCTATGGTTCCGATGAGCAATCAGGTGTGAAAGAATGGAGAGAGATGGTATATGCTCTTCAGGAGGTCCAGGAGCATAGTTGGGAGCAGATTCCAGTAACCAAATTTCATTGAAGTCTAGGGTTTCATCTTTAAATGTTTTATATCAGTATTGCATTCTACTAATATGTCCATGGTTAAAAGTGTTTTAAGTATTTATCAATGATTAAAATTTATTCTACAGCAAAGTTTGCCTAGTCTGGTAGATCTACAAATAACTGCGTTTATTTATATATTTTTTAAGCCCTGTGGTGGGCATTTTATATTATTTAATGTCTCTAGAAACTTTGCCCAGGATCACACAGCTAGTTGTCAGAGTCAGAATTCTAACCCAAGTATGTTTCAACTCCAAAGTCCATGTGTTTTCTATAACTTGAAGCTGAATTGAGAGATTCCAGAGCCTGAAAGTCTTCACCCAGTTCTACGTTTATCTTCACCTGTCTAGAACACCATATAATACAGGATTTTTTTTTTTTCTTGGTCAAGTTACTATTGTGGTTCAGATCATGCATAATTCAGACTACTTCTGCAGGATGCAACCCACCCTTGATTATCTAAAAAGAAAAATTAATGTTGACGGAGGTATTTACATATAACAGAATCTTGTCTCTCTTTGGTGCCTTTAAAACAAATTAGATGGCTTTTTTTATAGCAGATTTACTTTTGTCATTGTTTTAGAAATTGATGTATGTTGACGTATTGTCATTTCTTGAGTCCTTTCCAGCTGGTTATAGGAGCTGGCTTTTTTGGCAAGAGGAAGCCATTTTGGTTGTGAAAACTTGGTTTCCAGGTAAACCCCATCCAGATGACATAGAGTTTACTCCATTTGTGTCTGCTTACCTAAGGCACATGGGAAAGCATTAATGCTAAAGTACCAAGGTGTTAGAAATTGTCACCTCCCTGCCCACCCCATCTGAAATTTACCTAACCATTTTGTATCCAGTTTCCGTTAGATGTCGAGAGAAAAAGTCTGAAATGCTCTGGCAGTGGCCAGGTCCAGCCCAGAATTAGGTGGTCTGGTTCCTTTAGTTCCTCTGAGAAGCTAGAACAACTACTCAAATGATTGCTAATGGAGCCTATAGTAGCTATTTTTGGTCTGAGCTGACTCCATCCCTGAATTTCGGGTTCTTCCAGAAAACCTGATACTTGGAAATCTAGGGGCATCCAGAAGATGATTTATAGAGGGAGTCCTGTGAGGTTCTTTTGTTTTATAGCCTTGTTTCCTGTTCAAAGCTCTCTTTTCACCGTGTATTACATCTTAGTGCCTGATAGCCTTTACATTAAGTAAAGAAGGGAAAGAGTTAAACAGGAAGCGAAAGTCCAGAATTTGGATTAGAAAACCTGTTGAGTCAAAGGGGAACTTAGCAGAGGAGCAGAATGGAAATTATTTCCTTAGACAGTAGACAAATATTCAGGAAACACCTCTGCACCCCCAAAGATAGGCACAGCTGCCACACAGTGACTTACAGGGAGGTTCAAAGTTATGAGCAAACAGCTGATTCTCTTGGTTCTTAGGCTGTTGCTGTTGGTGACAGGAAATCTTGTTCCCGAAGCTGCTGGCTTCCTGTTTTATTTTTACTCTTAGCAGGTCAGAATGTCCATAACAAGGAGCAGTCTGTTCCAAGGGGTTCTGCTCCCCTTTTGAGCCTGAAGCGTTTTTTTTTTTTTTTTTTCCCCTTTTGGTCAGACAATATGTTGTTTAGCTTTTAAAATCTGTGATGTTTAGCTTGATTTAAGCATTTTGTATTCACAGTCAACTTTTTTGATGATGAGCTGGTGTTTTAAGATTTAATGTAAGTAAACCTCTGTTTTGCCTTTTTTGGAGGAGCTTGCAGTATTGGGGACTTGGGTATGTTACCTTTATGCTTTACCTTTTTATTTGAAGCAAATTTGCCACTTTCCCCAGCACAAAAACATTAGGCCGTTTTAGATTTCTTTAGTTTCACAGGATATAAAAACAGGACTAGTGCAGTGTGCCTTGGCTGTGGTTATATTCATTTTGTTGAGACTAAAACCTTCTCCTGTTCTCGTAAAGCTAGGAATTTGGTAACCTGAATCTAAAACAATAGCTCAGCATGAACCTGAAGTGCTGGGGGATTTCCTAGGGAAAGGGGCTCAGCCGACAGGATAAGAAACAGTAACTGGAAGGTTTCCGGATCTGCTCCAGACACTTCCTGCTGTCTTAAGAGCCTTTTGGCCCAGGTGTATTGAACCGGATGGCGGGGGAGAAAGGGAACTGTTGAGTAGAAGAGAAAGGATCAGGGAATCTTATAGCACAGTTTGCTCCATCACATTTGACATACTGAACATGTAAAATTTTTCTTGATATTCTTTCATCCTGTCAGTTTACCGACTAAACTTTAGTACTGTTAATAGATACTGGCGGTAAGTATTTAGTTGTACATTAACAGTCATCCATCAAGGAAGAACTGGAGAGGTTATGTCCTGATGTATATCGGTAGAATCACTATTGGCAGCTTGATTTCATTGTGGAGATTATCAGATGACAGAAGCTTCTTTCTGATCCTTATCATTGATGGCCTAGAATCTGATCTGTCCCGGTTATGGACACCCCAAGGATAGGATCTGTACCATCTAGTGCCTGCTGATGGGCTGTTCTCTGACCATGCCTTTTTGGCTCTGGAGACTTGTTGGTTGGAGAAGTAGGTGTCATTTTAAGGTTTTTATGCTGCCTGTGTGCCTCAACTAGCAGTCACCAGCTCTGAATTTCTAGACTCATCCAGCAAGCCTTCTAATGGCAAAGCTTTAAGAAAAAGGCTTAAAAGCAAAGGAAAAAAAAAAAAGATGGGTTGGAAAGAAGGGGAGAAAAGATTTTTAAAGCTGTTTTAGATCAGAGCAAGACAAAAAAAAGGCTCACACAGCCCTAGTGTGCCTGGAATTTGCGGTTGAGTAATACTTTCCTGTTATTTCTTTTTTAGGTTGTTTTTCATCATTCAGAACATTGCCTGAAGCAGGTCCACCATGCCGTTAGTAACGAGGAACATCGAGCCAAGGCACCTGTGCCGTCAGACGTTGCCTAGCGTTAGAAGTGAGCTGGAATGCATGACCAACATCACCCTGGCAAATGTCATCCGACAGCTGGGCAGCCTGAGTGAGTGCCGCAGAGAGCCTGTGCTTTGCCCTCAGGGGTCGTTGGTGCTCTTTATTTAGTTGCCTTTTCCTCCCTTGTTCCTATTTCTCCCCCATCTGCCTTCCCTAGGTAATGCGAAAACCTATCCCACTCCCCTCCCCAATGAGAGGCTCCTTTTTGGTACAGATTCTTCCCCTCAACCCTTTCTTCATCTACCACCACCCTCTAGGTTCCCTCCACCTCCACCTCCCCCTCCACCTGCTTCAAAAGAAATCCGTGGGAAGGGTGGCAGGAAGGGCTGTAGCAGAAACTGCAGATGGAATGACAGAGCAGAATTCTCTGTGTAAAGTGAGAGGTTCACAGAGCAGTGTATCCTGGATTGGGGAATGTGCCTCTAATTGCACGAACTGCTCAATGTGGCATGACTTTGTTAAAGCCTCCAATGTGCCAATAGTCTTTATCTACCCAATACCTTCCTCCCCCACTTTTCTTCCCAAAGAGGAGTAAAGCAAACACGCACTCAGACTCTAGCTGACTTGTCCACCCTGGCACACATTTAATTGTGCTGCAAGCCCCCAGGTCCAAGTTCAGGGTACAGATTCCTTCTGCAGTCCCTGGGGTATTGGGAGTTTTGCAAGCTGCGTGAACACACAGTGACACAAATTGTAACTGGAGTCATTCTTCTCTAAGAGGAAGATGGGGGTTAACCCAGTCTGTTTCAGAGTTGAGGGAAAGCCAGCTCAACTGTAATTCTGTTTTTTTTTTAATTGGCAAGAATGAATGAGACTGCCTTGGGTGGGGTACATGCATGTGGTTTGGATTTCATTCTGAATCAAGCTGACTTTGTTTGCTTGAAGCCAAGGTATGGGAAGGGCAGATGCTTGGGTAGGCTCTGCATTTGTCTAATGCCACTCCAGCTCCCAGAGGAACCTCCGTCAGAATGGCATTTTAGTGATCTTTTTTAGCAAAGGCATCTTGGTGTGAGTCATTTCAGACGCTCACCCCTCCTATCACCTCACTGCCCTTAGTGAAGGCAGTGGAATATCAAGAAAGCCTGTATTCCCCCAGATAGTAATAGGGCCTGTCTTTAAAATAGGAGCCTGAGGAGACAGATCTCTGTGACCAGATGATGTATGGGGTCTGAGATTTCTAAGCTTTCACCTAGCTTAGGGGCCATCTCAGTTGATCCAGGGCTTAGAGAAGCCCGGATGGGGTATCACAAAGAAATGAAACCCTGCCAGTGCCTGTCTTACACAAAGGAACATTGACAGCAGTGCAGCAGCAGTGAGGCTGACAGGGAAGCACATGAAGGCTGCAGAGAGTCTCACTGCTGCTTAAAAGCATCATTTCTGCTTCTGTCACCCCGAGAAGGCCAAATGGGTGGAAGTCAGTCACACAGTGATTCCTCTCCAAAGGACAAAGGACATCTAGCTAATGATGCTTCTTATTCTCACTCAGCAGGAGTTATGCTCTCTCTCAGGTGTTTTTCCAGGGTACTGTTGATGGATGCCATTGCTCACACTCTCCCACTTGTGATCAGACCACTCCTATCTTCAGGAAGCCTATCTGGGGATCAGGGTTGGCTTGTGCCTAAGGAAACAAGATTTCCTCACATCGTGGAGCTAACTGACCATTTGCTCATCCATTAAACGTGTATGGAACATATTTTATGTGCCAGAGGCTGAGAAGATACAGCAATAATAAGAAATGGTTCCTGTCTTCCAGGAGCTCATAATCTACCAGGGAAGATAGAAATAAGTAATTTTTAAGAGGAGATGGGAGGAGGGTCGGAAGGGAACTTATATTTGTTGATTGCCTACTTTATGCCAGATTTTGATAGGATCTCAACCTGGATTATCTCACTTAATCCACTCAATAACCCTGTGAGGGTAGGTGGTGGCATTCCTATTTTATAGATGGAGAAATGGAGGCTCAGAAAAGTCAGGTAACTTGCCTAGAGAGATGAAACCAGTAAGAGGCAAAGTCAGTACTGTACTTAAACTCAGACTTTCTAAGAATTTCTCAGCTGTGTCCCCTACTCTCTGTCTCTGCTATCCCATCCCTTGTTGTTGTTTTGTTAGGTTCCGTTGAGTCGATTCTGACTCATAGCTAACCTGTGTACAACAGAGCAAAACACTGCTCCATACTGCACGAGTTGTTGCTGTGCTTGAGCCCATTGTTGGAGCCACTGTGTCAGTCTGTCTCGTCAAGGATCTTCCTCTCTTTCACTGACCCTCTACTTCACCAAGCATGATGTCCTTCTCCAGGGACTGGTCCCTCCTGATAACATGGCCAAAGTATGTGACATGAAGTCTCAACCATTCTTGCTTCTAATGAGCATTCTGGCTGTACTTCTTCAAAGATGGATTTATTCGTTCTTCTGGCAGTCCATGGTGTATTCAGTATTCTTCACCAACACCATAATTCAAAGACATCAATTCTTCTTTGGTCTTTCTTATTCATTGTCTGCTTCCCTGGTTCATACCTCTGTTGGTTCTCACTTAAACTATTGCCCTACCCCGACTTCCCTTTTTCTGATCCGGCCCCCTTAGATCTATCCCCTACGCCACTGCCAGAGTGATCTGCCTAAAATGCAAATCTCACTTTTTACTTTTATAATTCTGAATTGTTCGAATTTTTTAAAGTTATGTCTGTGTTAACTTTTATAACTTACAAAGTGTTTTTTAAGTAAGTACAAATCTTTAACTATTTATCTCCCCTGTTCCTCATTGACTTGGCTTTCAAGAATACAGGACCTGCTTTCCTTTCCAGTCTCACGTTCTGCAATCCCTCTTTTCCTATTTTATAATTTTTTTTTTAAAGATTCTTCTAAATGAAAAGAGGAAAAAGAAGAGTGAATTATCAGCTACTGGTAGCTCTCTTGAGACAGGCCACACTCTCTTCTACCTCCATGCAGTGTTCGTGATGTTCCCTGCTTGGAGAGCCCTTGCCATCCTTATTTGCCTGGCCACCTGTAACTGATCCTTCAAGGCCCACCTTAGGCATCACCTCCGCTAGATAGGGCTAAGCCTCAACCTGCCGCGGTCTAGAAGAAAAAGGGTTAGGGTTATATTATTACATGTCTATATTATTTTCTTCCACATTATATTAGAATTATCTATGTCTCTTATACTAAATTGAAAGTTCTTTGAAGATAGAAATCATGTGTGTTTATTCTTGAACCTCAGTGTCTGTCTTATACCTAGCACCCAGCAGAAGTTCAGTAAATGTTTAATGATTCATGCCTGTATTCTCTCTACCATTCCACGTTTTTGGTGCAGAGAATACAGAGGAGGAAGGAGTGGGGAGTAGGGGCACAGGTAGGGATAGGGAGGGTCAAAGAGGCTTCACAGAAGAGGTTACATTTGAACTAGGCCTTGAAAGATGACTAGGGTTTCACGTAGCAGAGAGGGGCACAGGGATAGGCTCACGTGTGCTTCAAGCTTGTGACCTTGGCCTCCTGTGCATTGTACTCTAACCAGAACTGCTTGGCCTAGTAAGGAAGGTCTGATTATGGAATAGATAAAGCAAAAAACTAAAAATTCTACAGCCATGGATTACTCTAATAACACATCCAGAATTCTTATTTTTCCTCAGTGCAGTGAGGTTGGCATTTCACGTATTAAGTTGCCATGTATTAGGAAATGTAAGTACAGCCAGCACTTTTGATCAGTATCCTGGTCACCTAGGAGAATGGAAGCTCCAGGTAGGCCATTAGAAAATGATGCTATGATACTGGGTTTTCTAACTGAGTACAGTAGAGGGGTGGGGCATGCCATGGGTGGGGGGCTCCACTCAGACTTCAACAAGAGCAGCTTCACATTTTTTTAAAATCAGTTTTACCTATTGCACTTTCACATAAGATTTCATTTGAAAAATTGTACTGCTAAGGAAAAAAAAGTCAGGGCTACTTCTAGAATCTTTTGTAAAGTGTGGTATCTGTTATGAGTGTTACTGGTGGATATTGAGTCTGTCTTGGCAATCTGAATGAATGAAATTTAACTCTGCATGAGGCATTTTGGTTTTTTCCTGTTTAAGTATCACACTTCCGTTTTCAGAGGTTGGAGTGACTTTTAGCACTTCAAGAGTAGGGAGTATCAAATTACTGACTGGAATTATATTTTAAATTTCCTCTAGGCTTAATACTTAGGTATTTAGATATTCCACACTCTCATAAGTCATCTGATATAAAGAAGAATCTCATTGTAACAGCTTACATCTTTAGCTCATTTAATCCTTATGACAGCTTACTGAGATAGACTTAGTTATCCCTGTTTTACAGATGAGGAAACTGAGGCTGAGAGGTTGTGACTTGCTGGAGAGTAACACAGGTATAAATAGAAAGAGCTGAGACTTAAATTCACGTTTTCTGATTTGAAGTCTGCTGTGCCTTCCATGGAGCTTTGGTGGCACAGTGGTTAAGAGCTAGACTGCTAACCAAAAGGTTGGCAGTTCAAATCCACCAGCTGCTCCTTGGAAACCCTATGGGGCAGTTCTGCTCTGTCCTGTAGGGCCGCTATGAGTTGGAATCAACTCATCAGCAACACGTTTGGTTTTTGGGTTTTGGTGCCTTCCATGTATCATAGTGTAGTTCTAAGAGTGTATACATAACTGTGCCAGTGTCCCCTCAGCCCTCTTAAAACTGAGTTCTCAGCGTTACCAATTTTGTACTTTGGGGTTCTTTATAAGATTTTATCTTGACGACCACTGTGCCACACTAAGCTACTACTCCCATTATCACTGGGAGTACTACCCCCTTCATTAAGGAACAGGAAATCCTTGTACTCTCTTGATGACCTAAGAGTAAGTTGATTTGGGGTTTTCTTTCCTCCCAGAACAGATGAATGCTTAACAGGTATTTTTGAGCCTGGTTTATTTCCCACACATAATGTTGCATGTTGCTCTGCTTTAACCTTCTAATCACCATTTCTGTTACCTGGTTGAGCTTGATACAATATGGTTTTTGTGGGAACTTAGTGATTTTATAGGAGCCCCAGTGGCGCAGCAGTGGTTAAACGCTAGGCTGCTAACTGAAAGGTTGGCAGTTCGAACCCATGAGCCGCTCTGTGGGAGAAAGATGTGGCAGTCTGCTCCCATAAAGATTCACAGGCTTGGAAACTATGGGGCAGTTCTACTCTGTCCAACAGGGTCTCTATGAGTCGTAATCAACTCTACAGTAGTGGGGTTTTTTTTGGTTTAGCAATTTTATGGACAGGGATCAGACAGGTTCCTCACCTACAGAGTAGAAGTGTAGCCCTCTAGCCAGTTTGAGTCCTTTGGACCTAGGGGCCTACCATAGTTGTTTAGATCATAAAACCATTCAGTATGCGTGGACTTGCTCCTTCCTTGATTAGAAACTCCTTGTTGACTAAATTTATCAGCAGTTCAAAATTTGCATTATCCTTACTCTCCAGGTTATACTGGGAAGGTGAGCTTTAGTTCACCCTGAAGGTGCAGTTTTGGCCTCTCAGACTATTTTTCTCTCACATATGGACTAAGCATAAATGTAATTTGGAAGAGCTAAGTAGAGTCTACTTTAAATAGTTCTCAAAGAAATTATCTCTTGGTTGAGCGTTGTCACTTGTGCCTGCCTTCACCTTACAAGTAAGAAGCTCAGATAGTATGTTTATTCATATGCACTATTTTTCATTCCTAGTAAGAATGTGCCTTGTGGCTTGGAATGACAATATGGAGGTTGTTTCAAATTGCTGTTGTGTTTCTTTGGCAGCAAAGTCTCCCTGCATTCCAGGGTTAAAAGTAAGGAACTCTTTCTTTTATTTAAAAAAAATAAAAAGACATTGTGGAAAGAGACCACTGGCATGTTGTTTTTCAGGGAGGGCTTGAAAGTTTCAGCTTTTTACTCGTTCCCTGAGATGCAGATTTGAAGGATTGTAACCTAGAGTAAAGACTTTGAAAGTAGTTAGTTGTAAAACATAAAATAACCTTTTCACCCCTTAGAAGAAGTTATATGTCTCTGTTGTGGGTTGTTGATAAGTTCAAGGCCCCTCAAAGATACTACAACTCATCATCAATGTGCTTTTGAGGCTCCGTTGAGGAAGCAGTTTCTTATTTTGCATGCTAATTGTAGATACCTAAAAGGTTCTTTTAATGCCCAATCTGTTTTCCAGAACCATTTTACAAGGTGCTTTTACAGAGCAGCAAGGGGCTAAGGGTTAGGCAAATGTGTAGACGTACTGTCCACTCTTCCAGGCTTAATTTTTTGCATTACACCTTTAGATTTTATTCAGCCTGCTTTGAGTTGCATGACTGTTTCAAGCGTTTGTCAAGAAGGCTCAGTTAGTTATAGAACATATGCAGATTGCCCAAGTTATGGAGGGTATGTCTCTATCTCCAAGAGATACCAGCATATAGCCAAACCATCGTGGGGTACGTGTGTGTGTGTGTGTATTTGGGGCACGAGGAGTACAATCTTTAGTAGCCAGTTTTTTTGACCATATATGTCACTTTTATGCACTTGCGACTTGGTTTCTTTGCTCATTCCAGGTAAATATGCAGAGGACATTTTTGGAGAGCTCTTTACTCAGGCAAATACCTTTGCCTCTCGGGTAAGCTCCCTTGCTGAGAGGGTCGACCGCCTACAAGTTAAAGTCACTCAGCTGGATCCCAAAGAAGAAGAAGGTAAGGAAGCTGAGCTCAGCATTTGCAGGCTCTGCTGAGCAGTTTCTTAGAATTTTTTTTTTTTTTCCTGATTTATAAAAAAGTGAGAGGAGAAATCACAGAGACCTGTGGAGTTCTGCTTTGAGGTGACATGAGCCTCGGTGATGTGAAGAAACCTTTTTCGTTCTACCACACCCACACACACACACTGCCTTTCTCCCATTCCCCCAGTTCCCCCTTTCTCAAACTTCCCCTCCCCCAATCATATTTTGCTACCATAAAAGTACTTGGAAAATCCATTCCTCCTAAGGAGAGGCCTGCTAGATCTGGCCACATAGTAAACCTTTGTGTTGCCTCATTTTGTTCAGTCATGAAATAGCTGGGCTGCTGACAGCCTTGTGGGGCTTCCCCAGAGGGGGAGGAAAAAAAAAACCTGGCTGCAGTCAGCAGCAGCCAAGGCCTCTCTGACTGGTGTGACTCAGTGTTTGCTCAAATGGCCTGTCGTCCATTTTCTAACGCCTTCCATCTTCTCTCAGTGTCGCTACAAGGAATCAACACCCGAAAGGCCTTCAGAAGTTCTACCATTCAAGACCAGAAGCTTTTTGACAGAAACTCTCTCCCAGTGCCTGTCTTGGAAACATACAACACCTGTGATACTCCTCCACCTCTCAACAATCTTTCCCCTTACAGGTAACAGCTGGCTAGCTCCTCCCTTTTTCCCCCTGCCTAAAGATAAAAAACACTAGATTGTCTTTTTACCTAAAGATGTGTACATCAGAGGATTGTATCAAACAGCTCACTGACTATGTCAAAGTTGCTTGTGGCAGCAGAAGCTGAAGTTTAACATATAAACAGTTCTCACTTATTTGGTTCCTGAAATTCATAGTGAATATATATTGAAAGTTTGCTATAGCATTACATGCTGCAGAGTTTTAATTTGGTGTAAGCCAGGTCCATCTTGGTCTCTATCCAAGGAATTAGTTATTATAGAACCAAAAGGACTTTGTTACAAGGTGGTCCTATAGCATGGATCCCAGGGGCAACATTCTAGCAAGGCTCCCACTTGCTTGGAAACCACTAGATTACCAGATGTTTGAGCGTGTTAGTGGGACCAGCCTCATGGGCTGGCTACTCTGGGTCCTGAGCGGTCCTTCCAAAGCTCAAGGAGTAATTGACATTCTTCCAAATGAGTACCGTTCACTTTGTTTTTTACAGCCTTTCAACATTCCCTTCTGAAAGGACCAATACTGCTGTGGCTAGACTTGAAAAGGAGGGTAGCCTTATAGACACCTTAAAGCCCCTCCCTTCTAGTGGTCTGGTAGTGTGGTCATACTGAAAAACCACTGAGCAGCGGCAGAAAGGGAATATTTATCTTGCTTGCATCCATTTATCTTGCTTGCATCCATAAATATCTTTGGAACAGGTAAAAAGTAATTACACATAGCTGTGGGCAGATGTCTTCTGTGAGACATTGGGTACACTGCGAAGTAGAGAGAGAGTGTGTGTGTGTGTGTGTGTGTACACCTATGAAATTCAAGGACATCTGCCTGATTTAGGGAGCCTAGAATAGGAGCATGGTAGCCTCTCACACAGATATAGCGGAAGTGCATTGCATCTATCCTATATTGCTGTGTGAAGTTATGTTTATCCCTTGGCTTTCAAAGGGCAAGCTTGCAGAGCAGGACAGAGGTTTGACTCTCTAGCCTCCATCATTTAGTCTAGTTGGGTTTGGGCAGGGGGCTTGCAGAAAAGAAGGGATCGCATACCTGATAATATTGATAGAGTATGATACAGGGTTTGTGTGGTAGGATAATAAGAAAACTTAATTTTTCAGTTAATAGTATTTTCCCTTTTAACATACAATATCAGAATTAGTGTCTCCTCTCAATTATCTGGACTTGGCCTAACAGTAACGAGCAGTGGTATAGCTAACTCAGAACAAGGTTTAATATAAAAAAGCATTAGTATTTGATTTAGAAATGTTTTCTGTATGTTGTGATAGGATTGGAGATCAGGGAATAGAGTTGCCTTTTTGATTCTTCTTTTTTTCTGAGAATATACACAACAAAACATACTCTGTTTCAATAGTTTCTACATGTACAATTCAGTGACATTAATTACGTTCTTTGACTTGTGCACCCATTCTCACCCCCCTTTTCTTACTTGTTTCTCTCTCATTAACTCATTGCCCTCTAAGTTCCTATCTAATCTTTCGAGTTGCTGTTGTCCAGTTTTTTTTTTGTTTTTTTTTTTTTTAGTTCAGAATAAGTTAAAATAAACGTCTACCCCTAAGCGCACACTTTCTGGAAAGTGAGAGTGGCTTAGCCATGCCAGAGTGCAGGATTCCAACCTGGATCATCAAGTCTGGTACAGATAACCCTGACTCTGATACTCAGAAGCTGACTGTGTACTACTGTCGCAGCCACTGAGATATGATTAAATCTTGGGGTCATAAGAAAGCTGGCCGTCTGTTCTCACTGGGGCCCCCTTGTGGCCGGGGGAGGAGGGGGCGGATGCTGAGCTAGAAAGTAGAATGCTATGGTTATCTGTATTTGCAGAGGAATAACAGCTGTACACACATACACATTCATGTGTATACATGTGTACATATGTGCACAAATATGAACACATGTGCACAGATGTCAGGTGGGTGGAAAGCTACTGATGCTGCCTAGAGGGTTCTGGGGAATTGGTAGGCAGGAGGGGAACCAGTGGCAGAAACCCCCTCTGATATGCCAGGATATCAGGATGTCCTCAGGGAGATGTTTGTGGCCATGTAGATCATTAGAAATAATCAAGATCCCTGCTGCAAAAGCACGTTCGTGGCCTGACCATGCAAATTCTTCTGCCTGGAATTGAAAGTAAACGCTAAAGTTCTTAAAAAGCCAGGCAAGTGAAAAGGTGCCATTCAGGGGCATTGAGACGCTGGTATGAGAGAGGAAATATGCAATAGATCCGAATGACTTCTTAATTCCTCAGTGTAAAAACTGCAAACTGGTAGGTGTTTGGAATATTGGATTTGGTTAGGAGCTCATCTGTCTACTGATAGCTTATTGTCTTCATTTCTATCCCAGGGACGATGGGAAAGAGGCACTCAAATTCTACACAGACCCTTCATACTTCTTTGATCTTTGGAAGGAGAAGATGCTGCAGGACACCAAGGATATCATGAAAGAGAAGAGAAAGCATAGGGTGAGGGGAAAGGGGCGTCTGTTCTACACATCAGTAGGCACGATTGTGGAGGGGGAATAAAAAGGAAGCCAGTCTTATGTGAAGCAATCATTCCAAGTGGCTGCTTGCTTGGATGCCAGGTGAAACTCTAAAAAAATTGTGCCCACACCAAGCACAACCAAGCTGAAAGTATAAATCACACCAAAAATATGTTTGTTCCCCCCAGCACTATTAACAATTGAGTATATTCAGGCTGAGTTTTAGAAATTGACTTTTCTATTCACCATTTATTTCTCCTGCAGTTTGCACATGACTCTGCTGGACACTCAAGCTAGGCTAGTCCCTTCCCTGCCAGTTTTGCAGCTCATTTCTCAGATCAGCACAAGGCTCTGCCGTGTTTGATTTGCAGTGAGCAATTTAACACCTTCGCTGCTGGATGGGTGGGGCAGAGAGGATATGCCTAATTTTTGAAGATGCTCCTCTCCCTTTAGACCTCCAGTGGTGTGTATATGTATGTGGCCTACCAGTGCAACCTCATAATCCCATTAACATGGCTGTCGGGAGGCCCAAGAGAGCACCAGTGGTTAGTGCAGCTGCACAGGCTGAAGAATTCGTTGTTTTGTTTTTTTTTTTTTAAGTTTTTTAAAACTATTTCCTTATATCTGCACCAGATATCTGCAGCTGTCATTACTTCTCATCTCTCTCGACTGACCTTTGTGGCAGAGAAAATAACAAATAGCTGTTTATTAAATTCTTGACAGAGCTGTTAAAAAACATGAAGATGTTACCCAAAAAGGTAGTGGGTTTCCCATCACTAGAGGTGTTTAAGCATGAGACTGAGCAGAGGTTTCTCCTAGGCTTGGATCAGATGACATTCTAGGTCACTCCAAACCCAGTAATTCTATAAATTTTGTAGTGCTACTGTATGTTGTTTAGGCAGAATCATCTCTTGGCTGTGTGTCCATGTAGGTGGATGGAATTTTAATAAAGAACTTTGGAAAATGTTTTATAAAAGCTTTTCTGTTCATTTCCGTTATAGAAAGAGAAGAAAGAGAATCCAAATCGAGGGAATGTGAACCCACGTAAAATCAAGACACGTAAAGAAGAATGGGAAAAAATGAAGATGGGACAAGAATTTGTGGAGTCTAAAGAAAAGCTGGGGCCTTCTGGGTAAGTGATGCTTTTGCACTCTTTCTAGCATTCTTTATAGGGGCTGGGGGCTTAGAGACAACAGTCTGAGTCTTTGTCATGACACCTTCCACACCCCCTGCAGTCTGGCTGTGTGGCTTAGATCACTACCACTATTAATCAGCTACTTGTAAAGTGCATCCATCTAGTGTTTAAAATTGGCTAAATAATCAAGAAATTCAGCAGTTTAAATGAGGTAACTGGAGTGATCTTGAAAAGAAAGCCCATGGCTTCTGGTGCCTTTGTTTTGCCAGACACTGGTATGTCTGAGGGCCTCAGAGGAAAGACTAGAAAGGGAAGAAAATTGGTCTTGGGAGCCCTTTGCCTCCAGAGCATTGATTTGAAGGCTGTGCCTAAGAGCCAGGCATTTCAGGGGAATGGGAAGGACCAGGCAGGGAATTTGTGCATATCACCAAAGCAACTTTTCAGTCAGCCTTTGTCAGTTTCAGGAGAGAGGCTAGCCAAGGGACTGAGTGCAGACCTCAGAAAGAGTGTGGGAAGGGTCGCTCGACCAGTATTAAGGCTATATATCTCCGTGGAGAAATGGTAGATGTCAGTCTGACCCCATTTCCCAATACCGAATTACACTAAAGGCTTAAAGGGAAAAAATGGTCTTAAAAGCTTGGGTTTGATGCTTATCCTGGTGCCCGACTCGTGTGACATTCAAAGCCAAGTCACCGCGACTGCTTGGTGTGAAAGTCGCTCTGGGTTTTCCCCTAAATACATTGCATTTTGGCTGTTAGAGAACCATGCCAGCCCATTCCGGGTGTCTGGGGGTGATAAAAGAGTTGAGTTAGTCTTGCTTTTAGGGATAACTCTACCATGAAAACCTTGACTTTAAAAAATCTTGACAGTTCTGACACTTGGTCTTCCTGGATTAAGAGATTTGTTTTAAAGAGTGATGAAGATGGCAAGAGGAGAAAATGAACCTTTCTCTCTACTGGGAATCAGCCCTGAGGGGACCTTCATTACCTTCACCTCCCAGCACAAGGGGCCATTTTGTTCCTTGGTCCCATTCTGTTCAGACAGGCACTTGTCATAGGTTCAGTGACTCTAAGGCCAGAAGCTTACATGTTCAGGATGCCAACTATTACATGTTAATTTTCTTGTGGAATGGGGGTGGGGAAGATGAGGACTCTGCTTGCCATTTTCCTGTTGTCCAAGAGGTTTGGGGTTGGGCTACATCTGGACATGCTTGTTGGTGAACCTATAAAGAAATGTCCTAAGCCTACAGGGCTACAGGCCTTGGGGGTTTTCCGTATCAGAGCATCATTTGATTCGTTTAGTTCCCTCCAGCTGTGTTCTCCTTGGAGTCTGTTTTAGATGAGTTCTTTAGCAATCAAACAATGGTAGAAAGAAGGGTAAGGTAGAGTACAGCAGGCCAGATTTTGCTAGCTGATGCTTGGTATATTTTTGCTTGTTTGGAGGTTTGTTGCTTGGTTTATTTTTGCTTGTTTGGAAGTTTGCTGTTCACCCAGAGCAAATTCACCCAAGGCCTGGTGCTCTGAGGGACAAGTTTCCATGAGGCAAGCCCAAGCACCCTGCTTTAATCAGCAGCTCATTTTGTATGATGTGAAACCTGGCAGAGGGACCAGGTCTAACTACCACATAGCAACCTGCATTTGTCCTCAGCGTGGTTTTGCAATCAAATGCCTCCTTGGCCTTCGAGCACTTGGGAGGCTTTGCCGACCTCAAAATGAGGCCGTGTGCCGGTCACGTGTTTGCAGCTCACTAGCCTGTGGAGCTTGGCTTCACCCTTTGCCACAAGACAGACTTCGGGATTTAGGTATAGGCTGCACCTAACATTTGGGAGAGAATTTAAAAGAACTTCTGGGTTTGACGAGGCCAACACTAGCAAAGGAACAGCATGGTTTTAATAATCTGGATTGAATCCCATTGCTACAACAATAGAGTATTTAATCCTGAAATAAAATTTCATTATAACAGAATATATTGATATGTGTTGTTGTTAGGTGCCGTCGAGTCAGTTCCGACTCATAGCGACCCTGTGTACAGCAGAACAAAACGCTGCACCATCCTCATAATCGTTGTTATGCTTGAGCCCATTGTTGCAGCCACTGTGTCAGTTCATCTCATTGAGGGTCTTTCTCTTTTTTGCTGATCCTCTGCTTTACCAAGTGTGATGTCCATCTCCGGGGACTGGTCCCTCCTGATAACATGTCCAAAGTAGATGAGACGAAGTCTTGCCATCCTCACTTCTGAGGAGCATTCTGGTTGTACTTCTTCCAAGAGAGATTTGTTCATTCTTCTGGCAGTCCACAGTATATTCAGTATCTTCACCAACATCACAATTCAAATGTATCAATTCTTCAGTCTTCCTTATTCATTGCCCAGCTTTCCCATGCATATGAGGCGATTGAAAATACTATGGCTTGAGTTAGGCGCACCTTAGTCGTCAAGGTGACATCCTTGCTTTTTAACACTTTAAAGAAGTCTTTCAGAGCAGATTTGCCCAATGCAGTATGTCGTTTGATTTCATGACTGCTGCTTCCATGGTGATGGGGAGTATACTTACAGTATTTTATTTCTTTCTAATAGCTTTTGTATCAAATTTTTTTTTGTGGTATCTTAAAAACAATGAGAGAGAGAAAGAGTACCATTTGGGTTCTGTAAATGACTTTGGGTTCAATGTCAGGTATCCACCCAACTTGGTGTACCAGAATGGCAGCATTGGCTCTGTTGAAAACATGGACGCAGGCGGCTACCCACCACCACCACCGCAGTCAGACTCCACTTCTCCACCTTCTCCTTCCTTCTCTGAGGACAACTTGCCTCCCCCACCAGCCGAATTCAGGTAAAATAGTGATACCTCTTCTACCCACTCTGGGTGGTTAAACATTCAAGAACAAACTAAGAATTCAAAATCTAGGCTAGGACCAATAAAATAACTTCAGGTAAGCTTGTCTAAACAAACAAAAAAAAAACCCACTGCCCTCAAGTCGATTCTGACTCATAGCAACCCTATAGGACAGAGTAGAACTGCCCCATAGGGTTTCCAAAAGTGGCTGGTGGATTTGAACTGCCATCTTTTTGGTTAGCAGCCAAACTCTTAACCACTGTGCCACAAGGGCTCCAAGTTTGTCTAGATAATAGAAATTATATTTATATCAAGTACTAGGGAGATACTAGGCATTATGCTAAACACTGTATATGTTACTTAATCCTCACAGCAGCACTCTTGAGATAGGTAGTTATTATCCTGATTTTATAGATGAGTAAACTGTGAGGCACAGAGAGGTCAGAGTATTTACCTAAGGTTACACAGCCAGTAAGAGCCAGAACCATGACTGGAAAGCAGGTCGGTCTCACTCCAGAGTCTGTGTTGGTAACCACTAGCTATTCTGCCCATACCTGAACAGATAGAAGTCACCCACTTACCTCTTGTTTTTTAGTTAGCTTTAACCCAACATGAAATGAAGTAGTAAAACCTGCTGCCCATAAAATATTTAACCTTGTCCAGTTATCTAGGAACCTAGCAGACAGTCACCTTTCATTCTTAACTGCTCCCGGCTAATTTCACTGCCGGATAGAATCTCCAGAAAGAACAGAAGAGGAAAAAAAAGGAGGATGAAACTTAGACCCTGTCCATTTTTTGTATTTGTCCGTATCCTTGGCAGAGGTTCACAGGAAGGGTTAGCCAGTCGTGGCTGAAAAGAGATCTGAAGATTGTTCGGATCTCGGTTTTTCCTCACAGTTATTCTTTCCCTTTCTGATGCCTGACAAATGAGAGCTTTGAAAGGTGGACTTTTCTCTTTGGACACTGTTTAATTAGAGGTTGACTCTGTTGAGAACCCCTCAGATGGAGACCTAAAGCAGTTGTCCCATCCTGTCCCCATTCCCCTTTCTTCCCCTGCAATTTTTGGCTCTGGCTTGAGGGTCTGTGAAAATTCCAAGATGGATACTTTCCTGAGTAGCTATTAGTACAGGGCAGGTACAAAGGTAGACAAAGAAAAAAAGAAACCCCTCAGGCTCACACATGGCTTGAGACCTTGCAGCTGCAGCCAGGCATATCTGATCCCAGGAAAGGTGTAGTCTTAATTCTCTTTCAAACTGGGTCAAGAGTCTGGTGACCCATTCATTTCCTGTGTCTGCAGATCCTCAGATTGAGACTCCTTCTCAAGTTTTTCCCACATGAACACTGAAGATGCATGCACCTAAATGTATATCCCACTCAGATTTAGTCAGCTTGGCTTGGGCTTTCTGCCCTTGCAAGATCTGGTGAATGTTAATGGATTGAAGACCAGAACCCAGTGGGTGGGTGGTGTTTGAATTTTGACTCTAGTGTGCTTTCTTGGTGCTTGCTTCAGGATTAAACTGATAACTGTGCATTGAACTGTTCAGGAGAGTGCCTTTCCTTGGATAGCTAGAAAGTTAGAGGAGGACCTAAGAGATGATCTTAGCTAGCCTTGACCTGATAGAAGAATCCCAGATCCACGTCTTTCAGGCAGTTTTTCTCAACCTCTGCTTAACCACCTATGCCGATGGGAAGCTCATTACCTTACGAGGCTGCCTGTTTCATTGTGGTCAGTTCTGACTGTTCCCAGGTTTTCCTTTCTATTTGAGCCAAAGTGAAATGGTATAGTCAACCAAAATGAACCTAGGCTTGTAGATAAGCTTAACTATAGGTGGATGTTTGCATTGTGAGTGATAGAGGATCATTTTTCTTTGTCCTTTCAGCTACTCAGCAGACAACCAGAGAGGGTCTGGCTTGGCTGGACCCAAAAGATCCAGTGTGGTCAGCCCGAGCCATCCACCACCAGCTCCTCCCATGGGCTCTCTACCAGGCCCCAAACCTGGGTTTGCCCCACCACCTGCCCCTCCACCTCCACCTCCAATGATTGGTGCCCCACCCCCACCGCCACCTGCAGGATTTGGGACTCCAGGGACCCCACCACCACCTTCACCCCCATCATTCCCACCTCACCCCGATTTTGCTGCCCCTCCACCTCCTCCCCCTCCTCCAGCAGTTGACTACCCAACTTTACCACCCCCTCCCTTGTCCCAACCAGCAGGAGGAGCACCTCCCCCTCCGCCACCTCCTCCTCCTCCGGGGCCCCCTCCTCCCCCTTTCAGTGGTGCAGATGGCCAGCCTGCCATGCCACCACCACTTTCTGATGCCCCCAAACCCAAGTCCTCCTTGCCTCCTGTGAGCGATGCCCGCAGCGACCTGCTTTCAGCCATCCGTCAAGGTAAATCCCTGTGGTGGGTCTGGGACCATGGGGCCTTGTCTTTCTAGCTGAGATGACTGATTAGGGGGTCGGTAAGGGGTTCTATGCCCTTCCCAGAGAACAACTTTGATTGGGTGGGAAGAGATTTATACCTCAGGTCTCAGATCACCATGAAGAAAGTCTTTACCCTACAAAAACAGAGATTTAGATTTCTTTCCATCTTGGTTTAAAATAAGAATTCTTAACCTGAAATCTTTGAACCCCTTGGAAATTTATGCTTTGTATGTGTGTGAATTTTTTTCTTGGAGAAGGATCCTCATTTTTCATCAGATTCTCAAAGAGAGTTCTGTACCCCAGAAAAAAATCAAGAATCACTGTCCTAGAGGGTACTTCTTTAGCTGGACTCAGTCACTCCCTGTCCTTCTCCACTTTTCTGCCTTTCATATCCTTCCTCCCTTGCCCCCTTGCCCTCTTTCCCACCCTCTTGTTTCTTGCCATTTTCTCTTACCCCTTTCCCTCTTTTGTCTCCTGCCCTCCCTTCCTCCCTCCCTCCCTGCTCATCTCACCTTCACAGAGCATTTATTCTCTCTGTCAGGGGACCAGGTCTGGTCCCAAGGGGTTATAGTGGTTGTTTCTGTTTGTGATCCTCAGGGAACTTCTAGTCTAAAGGAGACAATCTAGGGCAGCTGGACTCCTTTATAATCAGTGGGATTGGGCAGGCTGAGTGCCTGCTAGATGGGGTATGGTGGCCACTCCCCACATAAAGCCTCGTGAGAAAGTATCATCCTCACCAGCCTAAGGGTATAAGCCAGGAAGAATGGTAGGCTTCCTTTCCAACATACCTGTGGCACCAGTTTCATACAATTTCATCTTTCCTTCTTTTCCTGCTTCCTCCTTTCCCTCTTTGCTTTCCCAGAGGGTCCTTCTTTTTCTCTCTCCTTTCCAATACTCCTCCCATCAATTGCCATTCCCTCTTACTTAGTCCTGGAGGGATTTTGAGGCTGAGGACACACCTTCTCAACCCTTTTCTCTCTCTCTCCCACCAGGCTTTCAGCTGCGCAGGGTTGAGGAGCAGCGGGAGCAAGAGAAGCGGGATGTCGTGGGCAACGATGTGGCCACCATCTTGTCACGTCGCATTGCTGTTGAGTACAGCGACTCAGAGGATGACTCCTCTGAGTTTGATGAGGACGACTGGTCAGATTAACTCTTCCTGCCTGCTGCCCACCTCTTTTTTCTTTCCTTCCTACCTGCCTTCTTTGATGTCTTCTCCAGCCATACCTTGGAAGAAAAAAGGGAGGAACAAAGAATTTCAAGAGGCCAAAGCCTTCCCCGAAGCAACCAAAGATGTATCCAAGGGCTTCCTCCAAATCAACGTGTATTTCCCTTGCCCCCATAGTCAGACCCCTTAGGGCTCCTTGGATTCAGTAGCAAAAATGTTTCCTCCTCCCTTAAACTGCCTGTTGCGTATTGAAGGGAAGGAAAAATCCCAAAGGAGATCCCTTTGATTGGGTTGAGATTGGAGATGGTGCCTTCTCCGAGGAGCCGTTTCCAAACTGGTCTTCTTCCAGTCCTTGCCCTCAGCTGCTTTGAATAATGCCAGCCATCTTCTGTCCTAAAGCAGTGAGAGTGGTCTGCATGACACAGCTGGCCCCTTTCCTGTGCACTGAGAGGGCAAAGCAGGCTGCATGCCCCAGCAACCAGACTACCACGCCCTTCTGCACTGATCTGCTGGGCAGGGCTGCCTTTCACTAAGCCATCTCTATGCCTGGGATGCCCTTTATTCCAGGAGGCATCCAGTCCCTAAAGAATGTCTCACCCCCCTAAGTCCAGAAATGATGCCTTTCTAAAGACAGATTGTTCAGTGCCTCCCTTCCAGCTTCCCTGTTGGTGAATGTGGTGTTCAGGTTTCCCTTAAGTGCTCCTTCCTCACCCCCCGGTGCCTTCAAGTACTGCAGCCCAGTCCTAACCTCTAATACCCGTGACCAAACAAGCCCTGACACACAGGGATCTGGGCCTGTGTTGGCTGTCAGGAGCAAAGCTTAGAGACTTGCAACTGCAGGACTGGAAGGACGGTGGAACTCCGTGGGTCCCTCCCTCTTAAGGATATTGAGGCCTAGAGATAGGAAGTGACTTGCTCAAGGTCACACAGTTGGATGATGACAGAGCTAAAGCCCAGAGTTCCTGATTCCAAGTTACCTGTGCTTTCTGAGACCAAATAGTGGGCACCTGCTGGAGTCTGGGCAGAGCTGTCTTGGCTCGCTGCTACTCCAGACCTCACCATAGGTGGGAGTCCCAGCAGGAGGGCTCAGGGCCTGTGCCAGCCCTGTCATTGCTGCTCAGACCCTAAGAACCTCTCCTGTAATTCTTTGCTGTCCCTCTCCCCCTGCCCCATCACCAGCCAACCACATGGCCTTGGGAGCTGCCTTTCTGGGGACCAGAGGTAGTGAGAGAAGGAAAGGGGTAGCAGCTTTGACAGGTGCTGTTTTCAATTCCTCTGCAACTCCTCCCTCTTTTATTTCCCCAATTTAAGCATAGGTTCTGCCAACTGTACAAACTTCAGTCCCTCAGGCTGGCAGCTACTGCAGGTATCTGCCTAGGGGGGCCTGGCAGCCTTGAGGAGGGCTGAAAGGCAGAAGGACTCTGGGCTTTGTTGCTGGCCCCCCTGCACATGGTGATGTCCCTTCTCCCTCCTCCACCTCTCTCCCAGAGCTAATACACAGGTGCTATTATTCAAAAAAACTGGTGAGCTCTGGCTGACATTGAGGTTCCCTCTCTTCTGCCCTAACTATTATGTAGCCTCTTATGCTGAAATCGGCTTCTCCTGGCTTCTCTGGCTTTCAGAGCCCTGAAACAAAGAGAAACAGGGTCTGTCTCTACCCAGCACAGCAAATGGTTGTAGTAATTGCCAAAGCCCTGTAAACCCCTCTGGCTTGAGGAGAGTGTGTATAATCATGGGTACTGCTGCTGTGCTCTGCTGAATGCTTCCCCTCTGCCTTCGTTCCTTGAACTTGGGGTGTGGGGACTGAGCCTGTAAATGCCAGCTTGCCCTCCTGCCGTGGCTCTCCAGAGCATGCCCCCTCCCTCTCCCCAGATCAGGTGTCTCTGGCACACGGCTGGCACCAGGTTCCACTGCTGAGCATATCAGCCCTGTGTGCCCCCACCTTGCTTCCCAGCCTACACTTTGGAAGCTGAAGGTGCTTTCACCAGAACCCTAAAATGGCTGTTGAAGATGCCCCTGGCTGCAGCCCAGCAGTGGCTGGGAGAGGCAGGCAGAGGGCAGCGGTTCTCCCAAATAGGAGTCCTGGGGCCTGGCCAGGCCAGGGTTTTGGCCTAATGGCTTTGACTAAATTACCCCTTCCCCTCCTTTCCAGAAAAGGGGAAGCCAGCGCCACTTTCTATCATTCTGCTCTGACCTTGAAGGGGGCGGTGTTGGCCTGGCTTCTGGAATGGACAGAGTCCACAGTGGAAAGGGCTGGGGGCAGGAGGAGGTGGGGAGGGGCACTGCCTGTGGAAGGTAGGATTAGATCATTAGCTCAGTGACCTCCTAGGGTTTCGATGTGCTGTGTTCTCATCCTACAGCTGGTTTGGTAATGATCTGCAAGTCCCGGAGAGCAACAGCACAGCTCTGCCTGACGGTCTCATTAAAATCTATGCAGCCAAGCTCGGCGCTTTGTAGCAGGCGGCCTTGCGAAGCCTTCTCAGCTCAGCTCGGTGGCTGGGACCCAGTCAGCCGAGAGGCCCTCTGGGCTCTACTTATGCATATGTGCACCTAAAAAAAAAAAAAAAAAATTCTCTTTAAATCCTTTAAGATGAGAAAGGATTCAATGCAGCTGATTTTGTTTTTGGAATACTGTAATTGTAGAATGCAAAGTTTAGTGATTATTTAAACTGGGCCCATATTGGTAAGAGTAGGAAACAGTGGCCCAGAAGGACCCTTAAGAGCTAAAGCCAAGAAGCTACCTTCCTTCCTGGTCTTCCCAGCCCAGGGGACCTGCCCCCATTCCTGTGGCCCAGGGGGCCACTGTCCAGTCGGCAGTGGCAGAAGCGACTTAAGGCTTTGCCTTGGTCATGAGATGAGTACATTCCAAAGGAGCAGCCAGGGGGAGGGGGCAGGCTTAGCGATCCCTTGGAGGCTGAGAGCAGCTGGCCTAAGCTCAGCTCACCTCCGACGGAAGCTCGAGTGCCCTCAGAAACGACCCTGGCCAATGTCACTGCCGAGCTGAGGTGGTGTTGTCAGGGCTAATGTGAAATCTCTTCCTGTGGCGCTGATCTCTGGCTCTGCAGCGCCAGCTTGGACAGACTGAGGTCTCTGTGGCTTTGGTGACCCTGCTTAGCATTCCCACTGTGTCCCAGCTCTGCTCTTGTACTGCCTCCCACCGCAGCCCCCCTCACCTGACCTCAGGGTGCGGAGAAGGACGGTACCCCAAAGCCAGGAGGACTTTTGCTCATGAGAGATGTCAGGTTTCTTAGGGGGCATCAGGCTTTGAGCTCTGCTGGGGTCTTGCAGACTTGAGAGCAGGTGTCACACAAAGTTGTGCCTCATTCTGTGTCTCCTGCCATGTTCACTTTACCAGTGCCTCCGTGAGGGCTAGGGAACAATTTTTTTATTGTATTAACTTTATTCAGTTCGTTTACTTGAGAAACTAACCAATTTTTGCTTTCTGTCTAGAATGATGTACATGTAGGAGAGTGAGCTGTAATGCTCCCTAAGTGCCTTGTTTTCTCTGATATAAATATATTTATAAGGACATATTCCAGTGGGTTCTTCGGTGAGTTTGCCACCTCAATATTTTAGGGAGTAGGCATGTATGTAGTGGGGATACAGTCTGAAAACAGCTCGCTTTCCATGAAGGATGGGAAAGGAGCTTCAGTTGGGGGTCTGAGCAGTGGGGTTAAGCCAAGCCCCTAAAGTGACCCTGAGGTTGCTGCCTTTCTTCTTCTTCCTTTGTTCTCAGGCCCTTAGAAGCACACCCAACTTTTTTTTAAAGCCCTGTGGCTCTAAGCCTGGTCTAATTCCTTGCCAGGCTTGTGTGTATACCACATTTGTGCCCTAGTGTTCTTAAGGTTCCATGTAACTATTTTATGTATACACATGAATACTTAAATGCCAACATTTTAAACAATTTGATAAAGTCTTTTTAGCCGCTCAGCCACCTCTGGTGTATTGTTTTTAGTGGGAGAAGAAACTAGAAGCGGGCAATATTGGTAGCCACAGGTGGTGAGCAGGGCTTGGGAGGGAGGTCCTGTGTGGTTGGGCTTAAGGGCAGGGGGCCTGTGGGTCTGGATGGTGCGATGTGTGCAGGAGGTGGAAACCATTTGGGTTTAGGAAGAGGTGGGAGACCTAGAGGCCTAGATCCCCAGGCCCTCTCAGCTGGCTGAGGATGGGGGTGTGGTAGGGTGAGGGGGGGAGTGGGAGACAAGCTGCTGGCAACTCCTTGCAAGAGGCGGGAAAGGAGCACAGGCTGAATACTGATGCTGTCTCCCAACATCTGGCCAGCATCTTGTCTGCCTCTAAGACTCAGGCAACTTACCTTAAATAGAAGGACTTACAATGGAATCCGATAAAACATTTAGGCTGCTGCACGCCCCCTCTCCTGCCTGGGGAAGACCGAGGGGGCTGGGTTTATATCCTGACCCGAAAAAATGACCTACCCAGGAAGCAACGGTTGTTCCAAGCACAGCTGCTGCGGGTAACTGTCCCTGGGGGTAATTTATGAGCAGACACCCAGTTCCGGGCCCAGCAGACGCCTCGGGGCGGCCCCCGGGAGAGGGGCGGGAGCAGGGTTGGTGACTCTGCCGGTCACGCCTGCTGTTTGAGAGAGTCACCCACTGGCGTCCCAGGAGAGGGGGCAGAAGTTTTGAATTGTCAGCAACTGCTGCGCCAGCCGCTCTGAGCTCATCGCTGGAGGTGGGGATGCAGGGGAGGGGGGTGCCGAGCCGGCTTGCCCTGGCGGAGCCCCTTCCCTCCACCCTCCTGTGTTTAGTCAGCACTTGGCTTCCCAGTGACTGACAGGCAGCCAGACGCCCGCCCTGGAAGAAGACAAAATGGTGGTGTCAGGAGCCGCCCTTACTGGGGAATTGGAGGGAAGGAATGTGTTTCTGGGAAGCAGAAGGCTTGAGCTTGAATTCCTGCTCTGCCACTTGGGAGCTGTGACCCTGTGCAAGTCGCTTCACCTCTTTGGGCTGATCCTAAGAAGAATGAGCATTTATTGAGCGCCCACCACCTGCCAAAGACTGTATATACTTAATCATGTGAGACAAGGGTCCTGGTTCCCCATCTGACACACAGGAAAGCAGGTTCAGAGAGGTTGCTTGAGTTCCTAAGATCACATAGCTGACTAGAAGCAGAACCATGATTCAAAGGGGTTTCTCAAGCCAGAGTCTGTGCTATTTCCACCATGCAATTTAAACAGATTTGAGTCCCTCCATCTAGAATCCTGGTCTTTAGTGCCATAGGGGGTATGTTAAAGGTTTGCAATTCTTGTCTACCCCACCCCCTGCTGCCCAGTTTTACAGGTGCAGTAACTGGTGATGGTTATTTTTGCTCTTGAATCAGACAAGTTTGACAGAGGATCCAAGTATCCTAGACCTTTAGAGCTGGAAGTGTGCCTACACCTCAGCCATCTGGAACAAAGTGGGTTCCCTGGATATGGGCTGGGGCTTCACACAGACACTGTCCAGTATACACATACCTAACTTGTGTGCGCACACATACACAGACATGTATATGTGCAAAAGAAGCCTGCATGTATGAGTGGGCACACATGACCAGGCCTGGGACAGATATATTACACAGACCCCTGTCCTATGCAGACAAGGACACCAGCCAGCACACTGTTACAGGAACACACACAGTCATAGGTAAACATCTCACACAAAGTCCTCAGAAGCCACCTCTCCCTCTTCCTGTCCTCAGTGTCAGTTCCTTACTGTCCCCTCCTGGCTGCGCAGTGGCCAGAACACCTGGCACTATTTCCTGTAAGTCCTGCTCTAGGGTGATTGTCAGCTACTTCCCTCCTAGATCATGAGGCTGGGAGCAGTCTCGTGTGCTCCCGATGGACTGCCCCTCAACCCCAGGAAATGTGGGTGTGTGGAGGGGTTTCGAAGTGGTTAAGTACTCAGCTGCTAACTGAAAGGTTGGTGGTTCAAATCCACCCACATGCACCTCAAAGAAAGGCCTGGTGATCTGTTTGCAAATTACCACAGCCATTCAATAGCCCTATGGAGCCCAGTTGTACTCTGACACACACGGGATCATGATGAGTTGGAATCAACAGCAACTGCTTTGTTTTTTTTTTTTAAGAGGAAGTTCAGAAGCTTGAAAGTTAAAAACAGCACCCAAAGGAATCTCATGGTAGAATTGTTAATACCATGACAGGAGGGCAGGTAATACTTGGGGCAAGAGCTCATACACAGACGCTCATCCCACCTCAGCAGGCAGCCACCGTTGCCCTTACCTAAGGAACTGGTCCGTGTGTCCACCACCAGTGTGTGTGTACACAGAGGCTCGCGTTCTGCGTACATATTTAAAGAGGAGCAGACTTACTGGCTCAGAAGGCAGAGGGCAGGTCTTCTAGCCACCACCTTGCTGCTCTCTCTCTGGCCTCAGTTTTCTCATCTATACAATAAGGACTTAACTGTGAGAATGTATGCAGCCCCTCCACTCTGATATCCCACCATCTTGAGAACTAGCACCTCTTTCCAGATGTGTGTGCCTGAGTAAAGCACATCCATAAGCATGACCCTGTAGACTCCTCAGGACAGTCCTGGGAGGACTTCCAAGACAGAACTTTTCAGTCCTATTTTACAGATGAGGAAAGAAGGCACAGAGAGGCATAGCAACTCGTTCAAAGTCACACGGCAAGTTGGCAACAAACATAGAGATAGAAACCTGTTCTTCCCGATGCCCCAGGCTGCCTACCAGAAAGCAAGGGCCCTGTGGGCTTGGGTCCAGAGCTGAGGAGACGGGAACTGCAGGGGTAAAGTCAGAAGCTCTGCCCTTTTGTCTGGGAGCCCCTATGGCTGCCTGAAGGCTTGCGGGGAGTCAAAGGAGATCCTAGGGGTAGGCATTGGTATGGTGGCTGGAAAAGGGCAACTTGGAACTTGGATGGGTCCCCCACCACCACCGGTAGACTAAGCGTACCTCAAGCTTCATTATGCAAAGCCAGAGGCAGGCTAAAGGGGGTTCTCCCTAGCCTGTGTAGCTTGTTCAGCAGGGCACGTACACGTGAGTGGTGTGTGCATGCATGTCTGGAATCCATGTGTATGCACTCACATGTAGTTACATGTTCATGCATCCCTGCAAGTACATTTAGGAATATTCCTAGGCATGTATAGTACGCAAGTGTAGGCATGTATAGTATGAAGTGTGTGTGCTTGCAAATCTGCATGTATGTGACTGCATTTGTGTGTTTAGATGAAGAGTTTGCACATGTGCATGTACGTATATGAATGGTGTCTGCGCATCTGGCAGGTGCATTTATACACATTTAAGATTTTGCTTGCATGCATGAGGGGTGTGTTCATGAGTGTCCTTGGGAATGTGCAGATGTTCACATGCATTTATTTGTGTGCAGAGGTGGGGTGGAACATGTCCACACATGACTGGTATGTGTAAATGTGTGTGCAGAGATGGCTTCATGTGACTGTACACACGAATTGTCAGAGTGCCCTGCCAGGAGAATATGATGTCATTGTCCCCTAGCCCTGGTGTAAGGGGTGCCCTGCCTGGTTCCAGCCACGGTGCTACCCACACTGGGCTCACAGCAGCCCCATCCCCACAGCTGCACACACGCTATTCCCCAGACCCATCCTGTGTGGCCAATTTGCAGCCTCTCGCTCCCAGCTCCCAAGAAGGCCCGCAGCAAAGTCAAGGGGCTGGTGGCCAATTAGTGAGGGGGTTAATCAGGGATCTGGGGACCCCTAGGGGGTGGGAAGCCAAAGGCAAAAGCTAGAGTTGGCAGGAATATGAGCTGCCTGTCACGAGGCAGGGAGGGGGCGGAGGACAGGCAGAGGAGGCTGAGCCAGCCCGTTGGTACTGAAAGCCAAGGGTCGACCTGTGAATTCATGGTTGCTGAGCCCTGACTGGAGTGGGGAGCATGTGTGAGTGCTGTACACTCTGTGTGAAAGGGATGTACATGCATTCAATCGATGAATGTGCTCCTGCATGCAAATGTGTGCACATGAATATGGACACCGTCTGTACAGACTTGACGTTTTGTGCCATGTATCTGTGCATGTGCAGTGGTGTGCAAATGGGTCTGGTTATGCACGCGTGTCTGGATCTGTGTGCACGTATGCATACACAAGGGTATCTTAGTTATTAGTGCTGCTATAACAGAAATACCACAAATGGGAGACTTTAACAAACGGAAGTTTATTTTCTCACAGTATAGGAGGCTAGAAGTCCGAATTCAGGGTGCTGGCTCTATGGGAAGGTTTCTCTCTGTTGGCTGTGGAGAAAGGTCCTTGTCTCTGAGCTTCTGCTCCTGGGTGATCTTCATGTGCCTTGGCATTTCTCTTCCCCTGTCTCAGCTTTTAAATCTCTTTTATATCTCAAAAGAGATTGACTCAAGAACACCCTACACTAATCCTGTCTCATTAGCATAACAAAGACAACCCATTCCCAAATGGGATTATAACCACAGGCATAGAGGTTAGGATTTACAGTACATATTTTGGGGGAACACAATTCAATCTATAACAGAAGGTTAGTCTGTGTCTCTGTGTATACATGTGTGTGCAAGGGCATGTACATTTAAGTATGTGCTCCTGCATGCAAATGTGCTCATGAAATTGACACTCTACGTACACATGTGCACAGGTGTGTGTGCACCAGTGTACAGATAAACCTGGGTGTACATGCATGTCTGGATGTGTGTGTCTCTGAACAGAGGCCTGGACCCCCGTGCATATGCATGTGTGTGTCCGTGTGCACGTGCCCACATGCACACAGGTCTTAGCACGCAGGGAGCTGGGAGATGCAGGCTGGTGGTCTCCAGGCTCCAGTAGAGAATCTGACAGACGAGCCTTGCCGCAGCCCCTGGCCCCAGGAGCCTGTTTTCCAGCCTGTGGAAGCTGTGAGCCTGTGAACTCATATTAATAGTTGCTGTCTCCTCACTTAACTGCAGGGAAAGGCGGTCATGGCCCCAGAGGGGGAGGGAGTGGAGGCTCAGCATTCGGGGCTGCTCCCCCTCACCCACGCAGGACCTGGAAAGAGAGGGAGGGCCCCACCCCCATTGCAGGCTGACCCCTGCGGGAAAGCAGGCCTCTCAGCCTCCACCCACCTCAGGGAGCCCCCACTGCCCAGCTCGCCTTCCTGGGCCTCTACAGCTGGATGGAATCAGGCATGGGGGTTGGAAAACTGGTCGAGGCAGAGAGGCTGGGAGGCTTCACTGCCATTCCCTGCCCCTCCATGCACATGCACACATGCACATGCGCACACACAACGCACGCACAGGCGCACACGCGCGCACGCACGCACGCACAGGCACTGGGTGCCGAGCAGCCCCAGGCTGAACACTAGAGGGTTCTGAGGCTGAGAGAGACATAGGAGGCTTCAGGCTGAGAGGGGGAGACACAATCCAGCCTTCAGGGACCCTCAATCTGAGGCAAAAGACATGACCCTGCCCTCAAAGTCCCTCAGCGTGAGGGAGGAGAGAAAGCCCAGCTATCATGAGTTCCCAGTCTGAGAGGGGAGACATCAGCTTGTATTGAGGAGCCCCTAGTTCTTAGGAAAGAGAAACAGACTTCTTTCAGGGGCCTTCAGTTTGAGGAAAGCGACACGTCCCTTTCCTCAGGGACCCTCAGTTGCAGGGGGTGACGCACAGCACTGCCTTCAGGGGCCACCATTCTGAGGAGGGAGGCAAGACTTCTCTATAAATGTTCAGAGTGCATGCCCTGGTGGTGCAACGTGTAAGCATTCAGCTGCTAACCAAAAGGTTGGTGGTTGCAACCCACCCTGCAGCTCCACGGAAGAAAGATCTGGCGATCTGCCTACAGCCAAGAAAACCCAATGAGCAGTTCTTCTCAGTCACATGGGGTCGCTATGAGTCAGAAATTGACAGCACCTAACAACATTGTTAAGAAGTCCCTCGGTGGTACAGTTAAGCACTCAGCTACTAACTGAAAGATTGGTGGTTTGAACCCACCCAGAGGTGTTTTGGAAGAAAGGCCTGGAGATCTGCTTCCAAAAGGTCACAGACTTTAAAACCCTACGGAGTGCAGTTCTATTCTGCACACATGCAGTTGCCAGCTGGTTTGGTTTTTTGGTTTGTTATTATTAAAAAGTCCCTGGGTGGCACAAATGGTTTGCACTAGACTATTAACCTAAAGGTTGGTGGTTCTAACCCACCCAGTGGCACCATGGAAGAAAGTCCTGGTGATCTACTTCCAAAAGGTCACAGCCATTGAAAACCTATGGAGTACAGTTCTACTTTGAAATACATTGAGTTGTCATGAGGTCATGAGTTGGAACTGACAGCAACTGTGGTTTGTTTTAATTATTTTTAAGGGAACTGACATGCTGGCATGCTTTGGGCATATACTATGTGAAAGCACTTTGACATACGTCATCTCGTTTGGACCCACAACTACAACTATTACCCCCGTTTAACATAAGGAAACTGAGGCTCAAGAGGTGCAGTGTCCTGCCAAGTTGCCAAGGTAACCAGGGCCATGCTCTGTGGGACTCCAAGGCTTGGTGCAGCCTTCACAGCAGGATGGAGTGTCGGGAGCTTTGCTTTCTTGTTTCATCAGTTTCAAAGCCCCAGACTAGCTAATGTGGGCAAGAGGTGGGCATCCTCATCCAAAAAGGGTCCAGCACCCTGGTTCCTGTCCCCAGAGGGAGTGGGACCTTTGTCAGGCAGTGCCCAGGTATGAGACCCTCAGAGTGCATGCCTCCAACATGTCAGGAATTGGCATCCTGGATGTGTCACCCGCCAGCCACACTCCATCCTGGGGCTCCAACCCTCAGGTCTGGCCTAACCCTCCCCTTCCAGGTTCTCCCCTACCAGACCCCATTCCACCTCTCCACACACACATACGGAAACATATTTATCACAAAATCATCTTTTATTGAGGGCTAGGTTGGGGACAGGAATGGGGAATGCACTGGGGGCCATACCCTGGTTGGCAGAGGGGCCAGGTGTTGGTTTGCACCCCACCTCCTCTAGGGCACCACAGGGTGAGGCCTGGCCCCCAGGCCATGGCTGTGGCGCTGGATGCCAGGCTCTAGTGGAGTTGAGGGTCCCAGCTGCCTGGCCGGGTTGCAGTTTCCTCCAAACGGCCACCAGAGGGCAGCCGGCCCCAGCACAGAGGGATTCTCGGTTGCTCAGGTGATGGCTTCTTAAAAAAATAAAAAACCAGAGGCTGGTGTGTTCCCCCTGCGAACCCGAGGGGGCGGGCCGGGGGAGAAGGCTCTGGTTTCTATGATCTCTTTTGATAAAAAATAAGCAAAAATAATGACAAAATACGTGGTTTCTCTTTCTCCCTTTTCCCCCTTTAGGAACTGAGGTCAGAAATGGGGGCGTGGGGACTGAGGGTACCCTGGTGTGGCCTGGATTTCAAGGTGTGGTCTCTTTTTTCCCCTTCCCACCCATAAATAAATAAATAAATAAATAACAAATACTCTCTTTGTATGTGCATATATATATAAATCTTTCTTTCTCTTATCTAGGCAACTGTGTGACTGACCTCTCTGACTCTCAAGCTCAGAAACTCAAAAGTAAAGTGACATGGTCAAGGTCAAGATTGGGGGGGGCGGTCAGGAACCTGGAATGGCACTGTAAAACACCCAGCATTCTGGATCTCCAAGCCAGCTGAGCTGTGGGACGTTTCTGAGTGGAACCCTGACAGCCTGAACATTCAAGAACCACGGCACCAGCTGGGCCCCACAGGGATCTGAACAAAATCTGGAAACACCCAACGTCCTAGAACTCCAGAACCAGCTGGGTCTTGGGGGTGTGGAGTTGGGGATTTGGAACAAAGCCCTGGAGGACATAACATTCTGGAATTCTGTAGTGATCCAGGCTGAAGGGTCACCAGGATGCAATTAGACGTCACTGGGGGAGCGAGATCGGAAGGGCATCTTGGAAGAGGAACAGCAGCAGCAGACAGCCCACAGCACCTTCTGCACATCCTGGTTGCGGAAGGCATAGATGATGGGGTTGATCATGGAGTTGTAGGTAGCGGGGAGCAAGGTGAGATAGGTGTAGAGGGGCAGTGAGTGGGCATCCCCCAGCAGGCAGTAGACGGTGAAGGGCAGCCAGCAGGCGGCAAAGGCGCCAAGCACCACGGCCAGTGTGGCAATGCCCTTCCGGGTGGCCACGTAGTGGGAAGCGGGCAGAAGGTGCCGCTGGAGGGCAATCTGCTGGGCATGGCGGCAGACGATACGGCAGATCTGGGCATAGAGCTGCAGCATGATGCCAAACACCATGAAGAAGGCCACAGCCAAGACCACCAGATGGTTCTTGGAGAGTGGACGCACCACGCCACACGTGGCTGGGGCATCCAAGCAGTTCCAGGCCAGCACCGGTAGCAGCCCCAGGCCCACTGCACCCCCCCACACTAGGGCCAACATCACGTAGGTCCGTGTCACTGTTGTCTCTGAGTAGTAGGTGAGGGCATTGTACAGAGACAGGTAGCGGTCGACAGTGATAGCCAGTAGGCTGCCGATGCTGGCAGTGAAGGCCATGGCCAACATGCCAACCAGCACCAGGCTCATCTCCACTGAGCCAATGCAGAAGACAGCTGCGAAGTGTAGGACGAGGCCCAGGCCTGCCAGGAGGTCTGCCACGGCGAGGCTGCCCACCAGCAGGAACATCGGGGCACGGAAGGCGGGAGTGCCCACAATGATGGCCACCACCAGAGCATTCTCGCAGGACACCAGGGTGCCTGAGATGCACAGTACCACGTCCCAGGCGCTGGGCGAGGGCAGAGGTGCACCTGGGCCTGTGGGCCCCTCCACGGAGCCCATGCTGCTCCCATTCACATTGCCTGGGCCAGCTGAGAGCCAGGCCAGGGGGCTTCCTGCACCCCACATCATGGTACCTGCAGGAGAAGGGCCCTGTGAGAGACCGGTGGGGTTGGGGGCTGGGTGCAGGGGCCTGGAGTGAGTGTGGTGCGCCTCAGGGTACCTGGTGGGAGTCTCTCCTCAGCATGACAGTGTCCTTGACCCATTCATGCCCTGCGCTTCTTCCAGGACATCTTTGTCCTCTCCAATGCCCCTAGGCCTCTAAGCAGCGGTCTCTTTTCCTGGAGGGGTCCCTGTCCTGGGTCTCTTCACCCTCCCTTCCGAATCCCTGGGTTCTGCAGGCCTCTTTTGCCAGCTGTCTCTCCCACATGTGTGAAAAGAGAACCAGATAAGGGGCTACCTTGAGTGGATAGGGACCCATAGGATCCTGGAGCTACCTGGAAAGGCCCACAACTGGGGGAGGGGAACACATCTTGAAAGTGAGGGCAGCTTTGTCCCTTCCCATCCGGGAGGATGACGCTCTGTTTCTGAGGCTCGCCAGACCCCTCACGATTGTCGGTACTGTCAGCTCCAGGCTCCGCCTCCAGGGAATGCGCGAGAAGCTACAGCCAGCCCCCACCCCGGACTCCTGGAGTAACAACACCTGGGAAGTCAGCCTCCACCTCCCCGGCCCAGACTTGTGTACCCGGTCAGACCCTCTTCCTGTCTAAACCACTAGGTCCCCGGAACAGACACCCCCTGCTGGAAGCCTGTTTCCCAGATCAGACCCTCCTTCTGCCCGGACATCTGGATCTTGGGCCTTACTCCGCCTCCTGCCTGTATGCCTGCATCCCTAAATCAGACATCTCCTCCTTCTCAGACGCCTGGGTCCCTGCTCCAGACGCCTCCTGCCGGCCCACCCTAAGATGACCATCCGTCCTTCCAAGGCCTCGGGTCCCTGCAGGAGTGCTCGCCTCCCTCCAGGTCACCCAACCGACAGCTCTCAGCACCCAGACACTTGGGCCCCCGCCTGCTCACCCAGAACCTGGGTTCCAGATCCGACCTCTGACCCTGGCCTGGCGCTGGGAGCCTCCCGCCGCCCAGCGCCTCAGCATCCTGGTGCCCTCCCGGACGCCTAGTGCCCGCGCGGGGTCCGCTACTCACCCCTCAGGACCGCCAGGAAGCTCCACTCGGGGCCAGGCGGCGCGGGGTGTGCGAGGACCCGGAGAAGCCCCCCGCGGCCGCGGGAGAAGTGGCGTGAGTCACCCCGCCCCGCCCCCGGCACCGGCTCGGTGACGACAGCCACCCGGCGGGCCAATGGGCGCGGAGCGCTGGGACGCAACGAGCGTTGCGCGGCATAGTAATGAGGCCTCGCACCGCCCGCTCCCCCATTCATAAAAAGCCATCGTGGCCGCGGCCCCGCCCCCTCCCGAGTCGGCCCTCGCTGTCCTTGACGCGGCGCCCTCCGTGGGCCGGGGGTTCCGGGGGCGGCGGTGGGAGAGCCTTGGAGAAGTCTCAGAGAGGCTGCGGGGGATGTGTGCGGGGAACGGAGAGAGGGCCCAGATAGGCTATGGGGTGATGGGACACTTGAGTGACAGAGACAGGCTGACGGAACCAGGTGATGGGGACCAAGTGACAGGGCTGAATGAGGAGGTGAGGATGACGGGGCTGTCAAAAAGGTGGGGCCCTGAGGTAACAATGACAGGAGCACGAGGGAGCAGGGAAGTGGGTGGCAGTGACGGTATGAACATGGTGACAGGATCTTGGGGGATGGTGGCCGTGGGACGCTGACGGTGGAAAGGGAGGCCCCCAGGGAGACCACAGAGGTGTCAGTGTGACTCTGGCATGATGGGGTTCAGGAATCCCAAGGTGGCAGTGGCAGGGAACGATGGATTGTTCAGGTGATGAGACTTCAGGTCACCATGACCCTGTCAGAAGCGCTGAGGTCCTGAGGTGACAAAGCTCCTGGAAGTGATGAGGGTGGTGGCATTCTGGAGCAACGATAACAGGTGACTGTGGTAAGTGGGCACCAGGGTGAGGAGAACAAGGTCAGGGGTCCGGACTGACAGTGACCGGGTATGACAGTTGCTGCCATACAGATCCTCGTGATTCTGGGCCTAGGATAAGGAGCTGATGACGTCACTCATGTCAGCCCAATAGCGCCCTCACAGCACGGGAAGGGTGGGACGGGCAAGATTTCAACATCTGAATTATTTATTCAAAGATCTGAAAAGCCAGTGGGACGGGGGGGGGGGGGGGGGGACATATGACAAACTAAAAGTATAAATAAGACCTCTAATGAATAATGAGACAATGGAAGGGGGTAGAAAGGGGGGGGGGGGGAGGATTCTTCCCTGAAGCAGTGAGAGATTGGGAGCAGGGAAGAACTTGGGAGCAGCAGACCTGGCCGCTCAGTCCCCAGGGCAGGCCCCTCTCAGCCTCCCGTTTTAGGATTGGGTGAGGAGTGAAGAAACAGCCCCTTCTTCCCCAACCCTGCCTGTCCTTAATCCCAGGGAACAATCCCTCAGACTTCTCCAGATGTGACAGATGTGGTCAGGCCTGGGAGAAGAAGTGCTGGCTGCTCCTCCTCCCTCCATCTCCAGCTCTGATCCTCATTGGAGTCATCCAGGCCTGTGGGATGGGGGTGGGAAGTAAGGATCGGGTTAGGGCTTAAGGAAACCAGAGGCGCCCAAACCTCCGGCCCCACTTCTCCCACATCACAGCATAACTGCCTCTCCCACAGTCAGGGTCCGTTGTGCAGATTCGGGGCTTGGGTAGGGGGCAAGCGGTAGGAGGTGACAGGCCAGGAGGCAGGAATCTTGGGAAGAGGAGAGGGTCAGGGCTGGGGCAGATGATGCACTTCAAGTTAGAGGTGGCAAGTTTTGGGTGCTTAGGGGGTGGAGGTGGTCAGGAGTGTAGACTGGGTTCAGATTCCAACCTGTCCATTTACTAGCTGTGTGACTTTGACTAGCTTCTCTGTGCCTGTTTTCTGGTCTATAAAATAGGGATATTATCTCATAGGATTGTTGGGAGGATGCACATTATCAGCACTGGCTATGTGTTGGCTATCAATAGCATATCTGGCAAGAGGAGGACCCTGGGAGGCATAGGTGTGCAGGTGGTAACTGTGACTCTAGGGGTAGATGGCATCACCCAGGGAGAAGGTGAGGAGTGAGAGGAACAGAGTGAGTGGCTGGGGATGGGGAAGGGAAGGGGAATGCTTCACATGCATCTGGAGCAGAGACCCAGGTGTCTGAGCAGGAGGAGGTGTCTGACTTAGGGATCCAGGCATCCAGTGCAGGGGGGACTCTGCCATTGAAGGCCCGGGCTGTGGATGAGGGTGTTCCTGCTCCTGGGCCTTTGCACTGGCTGTTTCTTCTGCCTAGAACCCCTTCACTTAATTCAGATCTGAGACCATCACTGCCACCCAGGTCTCTCCTCCCCACAGACCCGCTCTCTAGAGGAAAAGGAAGTCCCTCCTCTCCTGTCCTCCTCATGCCCTCTGCCCCTACAGCGTTGCTTTCTCCCCCACCATTGACACTCCCTCCAATTCTTGCCACCTACCAAGTGCCTCAACATAAAGAAAAAGAAAACCAAAATGTTCACAACTGGACCAATAAGCGACATCATGATAAAAAGAGAAAATATTGAAGTTGTCAAGGACTTCATTTTACTTGGCTCCACAATCAACACCCATGGAAGCAGCAGTCAAGAAATCAAAAGATGCATTGAATTGGGCAAATCTGCTGCAAGAGATCTCTTTAAAGTGTTAAAAAGCAAAGAGGTCACCTTGAAGACTAAGGTGTGCTTGACCCAAGTCATAGTGTTATCAATCGCCTCATATGCATGTGAAAGCTGGGCAATAAATAAGGAAGAGTGAAGGGGAATTGACACCTTTGAATTACGGTGTTGGTGAAGAATATTGAATATATATCATGGACTGCCAAAAGAACGAGCAAATCTGTCTCGGAAGAACAGCCAGAATGCTTCTTAGAAACAAGGATGGAGAGACTACGTCTCACCTACTTTGGACAAGTTATCAGGAGGGACCAGTCTCTGGAGAATCATGCTTGGTAAAGTAGAGGGTCAGCGAAAAAGAGGAAGACCCCTGACGAGATGGATTGACACAGTGGCTACAACAATGGGCACAAGCATAATAATGATTGTGAGGATGGCGCAGGACCGGGCAGGGTTTCATTCTGTGGTGCATAGGGTCGCTATGAGTTGGAACTAATTTCGATGCCACCTAACAACAACAACCAAGTGCCAGACCAGAGCCCAGTGCTTACAACAACCCTGAGAAGGTAAGGACAGGGTCCCTACTTCATAGCCAAGGGACTTGACACAAGTCACACAATAAATGGAACAGCTGGATCCAGGTCGGCCTGTAACCACTCCCAGCGTACCTTCCATCCTAGCCCAGATGTCACCCTCTCCTTGAAGGGGCTGGGGGTGAAGTTTGACAGCAACTGACAATAGCTGCAGTTCCAAAAGTTGCCACCAGATGGCCGTGAGCACTACTTCCAGGTGAGCCTTCTTTTTACCTCCTCTCTTCACTAGTCTGGGGAATACCTTGGGCCTAAGCTCTAAAGAGGGTGTGTGTGTGTGTGTGTGTGTGTGTGTGTGAGTGTGCATGTGTGTGTGTGTAGCACAGATCATCTCCACACCTAAGCCCCTTCCTTGTCCAAGCCCCAAGAATTAGTGCATGCATTCTTATCACAGACCATTCATTCAGCCAGTATTCATTAACAGTTCCTCTAGGCCTGGTTTTGGGTGGGTGCTAGGGACAGAGAACTCCCATCCTTCACAATGCCATGCATCATTTGTTATGATCCACACAGTTGAATGCCCTCGCATAGTCAATAAAACACAAGTAAACATCTTTCTGGTATTCTCCACTGTTAGCCAGGATTCATCTGACATCAGCAGTGACATCCCTCCTTCCATGTCTTCTTCTAAACCTGGCTTGAATTTCTGGCAGTTCTCTGTCAATGTACTGCTGCAGCTGCTTTTGAATGATCTTCAGCAAAATTTTACTCGCGTGTGATGTTAATGATATCGTTCGATAATCTCCGCATTTGGCTGGATCACCCTTTCCTTGGAATGGGCACAAATATGGATCTCTTCCAGTTGGTTGGCCAGGTAGCTGTCCT